CCCGGGATCCGGCAACGGGGGCGGGCGGGGGTGCTCCCCGCCCGACTGGAGCCCTCGGCACTGCCAGGTAAGGGCCTGTCCTGGAGCCTGGGGTCGGGGATCCGCGGAGGGGCAGCAGGGGGCCCGCAGCCTGCGGGTCTCTTCAGAGCAGTGCGCTTCGTGGCTGGGGAGCCCACTGCTGGCTCCCTTCTCCCGCGCTCTACCTCTTTGCCTTCTCTCGCACCTTCCGCCTTCTTTTTCCCATTTCCCTCTCCCTCGATGTCACTTCACCCTGCCTTCTCTCTGCCTGTTTGCCGTCTCTGCCCCGTCGCTCTGTCTCCCCAACCCTTCTCTGTCCCTCTTGCCCTGTCTTACCCCATCTCCACTTCCTCTTTCCCTTTTTCTTCCTCTGCCTTTCTCTCCTTTCCTGTCTTTCTCCCTTTTCCCGCTCGCTTTTCCTTCCCCTGTTCCTTCCCTCTCCTCTCCCCTTCCCACTATCCTGTTTTCCACTCCTCTATCCCTTTCCTTCTTCTCGTCCCACCTCCCTGTCTGGTCCCCGACTTCCCTCCAGCTTCCCTCTTCCCACTGGAGGGGAAGGACTATCAGGTGTGTGTCTGCTCTGGGGGAGGAAGGGTGCAACCACAGCTACCTGCCCCCCCCCCTCCAGGGGAGAGGGAGGGGATAGCAGTGGGAAGGGTCCTCTCTCCAGCTCCTTTCCTGCAACCCCTCCTAACCAACCCCTCTCCCAGAATGAAGTTGGGGCGGCCTGGTCTGACATCCGCAGCTGAGGGCTGCCCGGCCTGCCCATCACACACGGGAATCCCCTCTGCCTCTTCCTTCCCATTCCCCAGACTAGTACCTATGACTTCTGTCTGCCTTTCAGACACCAGGCAGCCTCCTTTGATCTCTCCTTCAGTCTCTCCCTGACATTCTGTCTCTGTCTCTGCTGGACAGTCCTAGTCTTGGTTTCACCCTCAATCAGGCTGTCTCTAGCTTCTGAGTCTGCCTCTTCCCCCTCCCCAGTCTCTTGGCCGTGCCCCCATCTCTACCCCCTCTTCTTTCAGCTCTGGCCCCCCACTCTGCCTAATGAGCCCAGTTCCCCTTGAAGGACTTCAGCTGGCGATGTGGGCCAGGGGCAGGTTCCTGCGGAGGAGGGACTTTCACAGGCTCTTAAACCTGTTTTAGGCTGCACTCATTATTTCAGCCTGACCCTAGACAACTCCATGAATCCCAACCCCTGGGTTATAAGCCTTTTATGGGTGGCCCCCATCTCCTCCAGCCCCCTGCTGCATGTCCAACATGGGAGACATGGGCCAAATGTGGTTCCAAGCTCTCCCACCATCCCCTCTCCTGTTTTCTTCCCCAGCTTCTCTCTTCAGAATTGACTGGCTGGAGATTTATCAGCTTGGAGGGCTGGAGGTGAATACAGGCAGAGTCCGGGTGGAGGGAAGGATCAGACTGCTCTCTGTCTTCGTCTGGGTTCTGGGCAGTGGGAGTCTGGTTTCATAGAGGTCAGCTCTCCAGCATCTACCTCTGGTTGGAAGAGGTCGGCTCCTTAACATCTACCTCTGGTTGGGAGGAGGATTAAGGGTTTCCGTGACCCTGGACAGCTACCTGTCCTGCAGGTGTGGATCCATGGGATAGCCCCAGCGAGTGTGCCCTTCTGCCCCAGTCAGCGCATGCCTCAGCACCTGAGGACAGCAAACAGAGCCCTGGCTAGAGCCCAAACATGTGGGGCCTGGTGAGGCTTCTGCTGGCCTGGCTGGGTGGTTGGGGCTGCATGGGGCGCCTGGCAGCCCCAGCCCGGGCCTGGGAAGGGTCCCGGGGGCGGCCAGGACCAGCACTGCTGCGGACCCGAAGGAGCTGGGTGTGGAACCAGTTCTTTGTCATCGAAGAATATGCCGGTCCAGAGCCTGTCCTCATTGGCAAGGTAAGATCAAGCGCTCCCATGGCTACCTTGACTTTCAAGCCCTGCCCTGCAACTTCATCACTTCTGAAACGACCTTGGTCCCTCAGGGCTCCTAACACTCCACTCAGTCCTAGACTTACTCTTTAACCTTCTGTTCCTGTGTGTGGAACCTGCTGCCATTTTCATCTGACCCTTACAGTTGCACTCGGATGTGGACCGGGGCGAGGGCCGCACCAAGTACCTGCTGACCGGGGAGGGGGCAGGCACCGTGTTTGTGATTGATGAGGCCACAGGCAACATCCATGTCACCAAGAGCCTGGACCGGGAGGAGAAGGCACAGTATGTGCTACTGGCCCAAGCCGTGGACCGAGCCTCCAACCGTCCCCTGGAGCCCCCATCAGAGTTCATCATCAAGGTGCAAGACATCAACGACAATCCCCCCATCTTTCCCCTCGGGCCCTACCATGCCACAGTTCCCGAGATGTCCAATGTTGGTGAGTACCCCAAGTCTGAACACCCAGATCCCACCTCCTGAAGCGCCCTCTTTTCTCCTTCCCCTTGGTTTCTGCCCCAGAACCCAATCCTTCAGTTCGGGCCTGCTCATGTCTGGGTCCCCCTCATCTACTATTCTTCCCCTCCTGGCCCTGCCCCTGCTGAGTGGGGTGCCGGGATCCCCCACAGGGACATCAGTAATCCAGGTGACTGCTCATGACGCCGATGACCCCAGCTATGGGAACAGCGCCAAGCTGGTATACACTGTGCTGGATGGACTGCCTTTCTTCTCTGTGGACCCCCAGACTGGTAAGAACAGAGCTCAGGAGTGGTGGGGCAGCAATGGAAGCAGGCGCCCCCTAACCCAGTGTCTCTCCCTAGGAGTTGTGCGAACCGCCATCCCCAACATGGACCGTGAGACACAGGAGGAGTTCTTGGTGGTGATTCAGGCCAAGGACATGGGCGGCCACATGGGGGGGCTGTCGGGCAGTACTACAGTGACAGTCACCCTCAGCGATGTCAACGACAATCCCCCCAAGTTCCCTCAGAGTAAGGGGCCAGTGCTGCCACCTGAGCCATACTTTGACCACCCACCCCACTCCTCCCCCAGCCAGGGTCCAGAAAAAGGAAGTGCTAGGGGAAGGAGGAGGGCTGGGGACCTCTCTAAGAATGTCTCCCCTCCATCTATCCCCAAGGCCTATACCAGTTCTCGGTGGTGGAGACAGCTGGGCCAGGCACCTTGGTGGGCCGGCTTCAGGCCCAGGACCCAGACCTGGGAGACAACGCCCTCATGGCATACAGCATCCTGGATGGGGAGGGGTCTGAGGCCTTCAGCATCAGCACAGACTCCCAGGGTCAAGATGGGCTCCTCACTGTCCGAAAGGTTAGCCTCTTGTCAGCTAACACTTGCAGACTCACTCAAAACCACCTCCTGCTCCCTGGGACACACTTCTAACTGGCCTTGAACAGACTCAGGAACCTATGTTAGAGCTTAGAGATCATGACCATCCCCTCATCTTTCAGATGAGGGCCTGGGGCCCAGAAAGGGGGAGTGACTGGCTCAAGACTTCATATATCGAGTTTGTGATGGAGCTGGGGGTAGACCTAGAGTTACTAAGTCATCTGCCACCACCTTTGACCACCAAGGCCAGTGGCCCTCTTGTGCACCTCTCCTCTGAGGGCAGCCAAGCACTGGATGCTTCTGGGGAAAGGATTCCTCACCTTCCAGGAACCTGGGCCTGCCCTGGTTTCTACATGTCTCAGTCACTCTACCTCCCCTCACCATAGCCCCTAGACTTCGAGACCCGTCACTCGTACTCCTTCCGTGTGGAGGCCACCAACACGCTCATTGACCCAGCCTACCTGCGGCGAGGGCCCTTCAAAGATGTGGCCTCAGTGCACATAGCTGTGCAGGATGCCCCAGAGCCACCTGCCTTCACCCAGACTGCATACCACCTGGTGGTGCCCGAGAACAAGGCTCCCGGGACCCTGGTGGGCCAGGTCTCAGCCACTGACCTGGACTCCCCCGCCAGCCTGATCAGGTGAGTGGGAGTGTGACAGGGCAGGGCCAGGCCTGGGGGAAGATGCCCAGTGGCAGTCTAGTCCCACAGAGGATGTGTGTCCTTTATCATAAATCACACTTGCCTCCTGGCAGAGGTCTCCCTTCCTAGGAGTCTGGGGCCCAGGGAGGGCTGGAGGACCTGGCTCAGCCACTCCCTGACTCTCCACCTATCCCTCTGGGTGAATAATAGAGCTGCTCCCAGTGGCAGTGCGAGCAAATGTGATGTCATCTGCTGAGTGTGATTGACCCTTGGTTGCTCTCACTGTGGTCACTCCCTCACATGTCACGCTTTACCCGCTGGCTGACATTTAATTCTCATAACTGCCCTAGGAAGTAGGCATTTTCATCACCAGTTTTTTCAGAGGCTAGGCTCTGTAAGGTTAAGTAACTTGCCCAAGGTCACCCAGTCAGGAAGTGGCAGAGCTGGGATTCAAACCTGGATTGTCTACCTAGAGAAGAGCCACTCTTTCCACCTGCCAGCCAGCACCATTGTCACAGCACTGAGGGCAGTGCTGGTGACATTCCCATTTTGTAGTTGAAACAGAGGTTAAACCATTTGCCCAAGGTCACACAGCTGGTCTGAGGCAGAGTGGAGCTAGAACACAGGTCCCAGGGTCCCCAGAACAGGGCCCAGAGTCTGAAAGACAGACAGTGCCTCCCCACTTCTACCTCTTTCTGTCTGTCTCCCCCACCCCAAGTAGACCCAGTCCCCCTGAGTCTCATGACAGTTATTTAATGCTGATGACTTCCCAAGGATATTGTCTTTTAAGGGGACCCTATGTGAGTTATGGTTATGGGTGCATGGGACAGATTCTGCCCCAGGAGCTCCAGCCCTCTGCCCAGCTGAGCCAGGAGGCCCAGTAAGGGGAACAGGAGGGAGGGAGGGGAGCAGCAAGCTGTGGCCGTGCCCCCAGATCAGCCCAGCTTGGGTCTGTCTTGCCCAGATACTCCATCCTCCCTCACTCGGATGCAGAGCGCTGCTTCTCTATTGAGCCCGAGGATGGCACCATCCGCACAGCTATGCCCCTGGACCGCGAGGCTCGAGTCTGGCACAATCTCACAGTGCTGGCCACGGAGCTCGGTGAGGAGTCCTGGGCCCCCAGGAGGCCCTGGAGAAGGCAGCAGCCTCCTGACAGAGGGGCTGGCCCTGAGCGTGGGGGCGGGGAAGGGAGAGTACTGCCATCGGACCCTCACCAGTGTGCTGGGTCCAGACTGGATCATCACCATCAGGCAGGCCTGCTCTCCTAAGCTGGGTTGGGCTGGGCATGGTGGGTCTGCCAGAGCATTCTCCTGACCTTAAATTTACTCCTATACCTGACTTTTCTCATCCTCCAAGCAAACCTAACCTCAAACAGCTCCCAGCCCCTAACAATCCCCGCCTGCCCTGGCAGACCCTGCCCGGCATACTCTCTGCTTCAGGCTGAAGCCAGGGGCCGTGGAAGGGCTGGGACCTCCTCTGGTGGGTGGTTGGGGGGGTCCCAGCAGTGGCTCCCAGAGAAGCCCTGAGGGGAGTCCTCAAGGTAGGGGAGAAGGCTCGCCCCTCTCCTGCCCCTGTCAGTCACCATTCACCAGCAGCATGGTTCAGCTGCCTCTGGGCAGCTCTGGCCCATGGAGGTAGGGAGACCACGTCCCCTCTGTCAGTCTACCCTTATCACCCCTGCTCATGCCCCAGGGTGTCCTACATTTGCTGTCTATGGGAGTTGTCACTGTGCGTGGAGATGTTTGTACATGTCAGTCAAGAACTAATGTATGTGTTATGTGTGGTGTGCACTTCCGTGTGAGTATAATTCCATGTATGTGAAAAGTACATATATATTCACATATGTGTTTGTGAGTATATGTCTATATATATGTGTATATAGTCGTGTGTAAAATTAACATTTACGTTGTTTATGCATATGCATAATTGAATGTTTATAGTGATAGGTATAAGTAGCTGGTTGTATCTGTGGTTTTGTGTATGTGAGTGTTTGTGGACAGATAATAATAATTTATTACTTATTGTATATCAGGTACCAGTACCAAATGTGGATTTATTCATTTAATCATCACCACAAGCTTGTGAGGGAGGTATGATTATTTCCCCATTTTATAATGAGAAAACTCAAGCAAAGGGAAGTTAAATAACTTCCCAAGGTCACACAGAGATGAAGTGGTGGAACAGGCAGACCCAATCAGGCTACAGTCTGAGCTATCTCCTTCACCACACTGCTGTCATATGTGTTAAATTGTACATGTATAGGTTTATGTTTATGTCCATGCAGTTGTGTGCTAAGTGGCAGTGCATGTGTGTCTGTCCATGAGTGCCCCTGAGTGTATATCTAGTGTGTGTTGTCGCTGCCTGTGTACATGTAACCAGCCGTGTGTGTGTGTGTGTGTGTGTCCCCTTACTGTCTTCTCACCCTTCTGCCAAATCCTGCTCCCTGCTGGAACCCCAGTACTGACTAGCAGACCCCGGGGCCCTTGCTGCAGTGAGGGAATGGATTCCAGCCCCATCCCGTCTCCAATGTATCCCAAACCTTTAGCCAGGCAGTCCACTCAGCCTCCTTTGCCAGGCTGCGACCTTCAGGTCCAACCAGCTCTCCCCATGCTAGGGTGGGAAGTTTGGGGAGGAGAGACTAAAGGAATCAGCCTAGGAGAGGTGAGCACTGGGGTGTACAGAGATGCATTTTTTCCATTCTCTCTTGGGTGCCACTGGCAGTGAGGAGCAAGGCAGGGTAATGGTGGGAACCACCTGATGAAGGGATGGGAGAAGAGGGGCCTGGGTCTGCCTGTGGTGCCCAGGCTCTGCCCCCTGTGCATCATGCAGCTCCTCCCTCCCCAAGGTCAACTTTAAGTGATGCTTACCGCCACACCACAGTCTCCCTCTGATGGGACATGGTGTGTGTGTGTGTGTGTGTGTGTGTGTGTGTGTGTGTGTGCACGCGCGCGCGCACATGCGTGTGTGTCCTCCCACCAATGCTGGGCATGAAAATGCATCCTCTGGACCCTGGGTGGGGGCGCATACTGTATTCACTGCGTACACTGAACATCCACTTCATGTATGTTGCATTTATTTTAAATGCTGAGTGTCCTTCTAATATATGGTATGCATGCGTTTATGTATTTCATGGCTATTATTTAAATGCAACTTGTATGCACCTTCTGTCTACTCTTCGTTTATGGTGTATGTGCCCTACATGTGGGTTATTGTTTTTGTATATATGGGTGCTACCTTCCTGCTGAATGTGTATTGTGTATTGCACATACCTTGGGCACTGCATGAATGTTGTATGCACTTGCTGTTGTTCCATTCATTGCACAATGTTTGCTACTTGCAACTTGCATGCATATTTCATGTTGCATGTACATGCTATGTACTGCATGTGTCATCCATGCCCACGCACCATGTATGTTGTGTATGCGTGTGTGGGGTGTATGTGTTCATGTTCTGGCTTCAGACAGCTCCGCCCAAGTTTCCCGTGTGCAAGTGGCCATCCAGACCTTGGATGAGAATGACAATGCTCCCCAGCTGGCTGAGCCCTACGACACCTTTGTGTGTGATTCTGCAGCCCCTGGCCAGGTGAGCTGCTGAGACAGAAGGGTTGGGACCTTAAGACCTCCACCTTCCCACTCCATACAAGGCCTGTCTTCTTCCTCTCAGCTGATTCAGGTCATCCAGGCCCTGGACAGAGATGAAGCCGGCAACAGTAGCCGTGTCTCCCTCCAAGGTCCTCTGGGCCCTGATGCCAACTTCACTGTCCGGGACAACCGAGGTGGGTGGCCTCCTACAACCATGCCCATGCCTGCCTCCCTCCTCTTCTCTTCCCCCACCACCCCCAGTGCAGCCTGCCTGACCCCTGTCTGCCTATCTGGGCCCTCGTCCTAACAGAAAGTAGATGTGGATTTGCTCATGTTCACTGACTGCAAACCTTCCCCATGCGAAGCTGTCTCCATGGGCCAGACTGACCCTACTGGGAAGGTACCCTAACACCTTCTCTTTCTCACAGATGGCTCTGCCAGCCTGCTGCTGCCCTCTCGTCCTGCTCCACCCCGCCAGGCCCCCTACCTGGTTCCCATAGAGCTGTGGGACTGGGGGACCCCAGCACTGAGCAGCACTGCCACAGTGACTGTCAGCATGTGCCGCTGCCGGCCTGATGGCTCCGTGGCATCCTGCCGGCCCGAGGCTCAGCTGTCACCCGCTGGGCTCAGCACTGGAGCCCTGCTTGCCATCGTCACCTGTGTGGGCACCCTGCTTGGTGAGTCAGGTCACAGTGGGACATAGATGTGGGGTCAGGACTTTGGGAATATGGAGAGGTATGAGGAGCCTGGACATAGGGAAATCTAGCTTAGGGCTTTAGCAGGGATGGGGAACGTCTGGCCCGCAGGCAGTATAAAGCCAGCAAAATCACTTGGTCTGGCCCTGCCAAGGCAACCACAGGTGGGACTTGAAATTCAATAAGTCTAGGAGCTTTTTCATAGCTAATTTTTAAGTTGATAATTTTATATGGCCCTCAAATGATGTTAAAAATTTCCAAATGACAGAAAAAAGGTTCCCCACCCCTGGCTTACAGGAACCCTTGTGCCTGGATTGTCCCACTGCCTGATGCATCCAAGAAAAAAGTTCTGGCCTCATATCCCTGACCTGCTGATCCGTAATGACAGTAACAAGCCATAAAAACTGTTTACTGAGCCCCAACTCTGGGCCGCATGTGGCACTGGGCACATCACTTAGTGGTATTTCATTTCATACTTTTGACAACCCTAAGAGGTAAATGCTTTCCCTGTTTTCTATAAAAGCACTCAATCGTTAAGGGTCAAAGAGGTTTGGACAAGTTAGGCAACTTCCTATGCTCACACAGCAAGTAAGGGCTGAAGTCCGGATTCACGCCAGGTTTGCCAGACGTCACACCTAGGTAGGGACTGCCACCCTCACGCCACACTGCAGTCTCTGTCACCCAACCCTCTGTGTCTGCATCTGCCCAGCGCTGGCTCAGCCCCCTGTGTGGCCTCTCCCCCAGCCCTGGTGGTGCTCTTCGTGGCCCTGCGGCGCCAGAAGCAGGAAGCGTTGATGGTGCTGGAGGAGGAGGACGTCCGGGAAAACATCATCACCTACGACGACGAGGGTGGCGGAGAAGAGGACACGGAGGCCTTTGACATCAGCGCCCTTCAGAACCCCGACGGGGCGGCCCTGCCGGCGCCCGGCCCTCCCGCGCGCC